GAATGCTTTGTTTTTTCATCCTGTGTCCTTCTTCACATGTTTAATGAGTCACATCTCATAGGTTATTTCTTTGGAACATGTCATGTGCCTACAGATTAGGTTGCTGTCCTCTCTTTGCTTCCACACATAACATCACTTAGAACAATTCCTAAATTTAATATGACATTTATTTACATGATTTTTTTAAACTAATCTTCTCCTGATACAGATCTGTGTTCATTCTGTGCTGAGACTCCACTGAATATTGAATATTTCACAGATGTAGGATGCAGAATTTCAATATAAAGTTACAGTATCTCTCTATCCACTGTTATTACAGAGGTCTCTCAAGATGATGCTGATTTGGCTTATCAGAACATATGCATATACAATTTACCACAAGGGCATTTTTTTCAGTCTCAGTTGCAAGCTTGGTCAAAACCTAGTGTTGCATTTCTCCCTTTTTTTTCCTAGCATCATATGATATGAGATTATTTGGGTCAGGAGTCTCATGAGCTTTTATGTTCTTTGACAGAATTCACAGAGAAAATCAGTTCTGGGAGTGGGTAGTGGCATGACGCATTCAGCATTTATGCACTTATGAATAGTCTACGTAGAAATTTCTTCCACAGACATCTGGAAACAGGAGTGGATCTGATTAGGGTGGTATTTAGCCTTCATAAATTCTGAAAGATCATGACTAATCTACTTTGGACCTATAGCACTGATAAATGTTTGAAATATATTTCTTGTCACTGGTGAGAGACTGAACTCTATAGACATGGTTATGAAAAAAAAAGAAAACTGTTTCAGAAGTACACATTCCACCTTTCAGAAGTACACATTAACTACCTCTTTCAGAAGTACACATTAACTACCTCTAAAGAGAAATTAAAGTCAACACATAGAAACACGTTTTGAAGTCTCCATTTGTTATAAAATATGTAAAAGTACATGAAACCATTGTATTGAGCACTTTATTGAAATATGCCATTTGTATTACTCTAATTGATGTTCTATGACTTCTCCAAGCTCCTTTAATGTTTAGGGAGACTGCATTCATGTGAAATTTTATTGAGTATTTCTTAATAGGCAGACATTTTTCTAGACTGTGGGGCATTTGGTCTATGTAACAATGGACACAAATGAACCACTTTAAAAAAAACTTATATTCTGGCAGCTGACCAATCATACACATAGTATGGAATATGTTAGATGATAATCCTGCAGGAAGGATGGACTTTGGATAGGTAAAGAACAGGAAATATTGGAGGGGGAGCAACCATATATAAGACAAAATGGACAGAGATGGGCTCTCTACAAATGGTTTCTACCTCTTTCTTTGTTAACAAGAAATACAATGACTTCTCTTGTTTCTGACTAAGGAAATGATCTGTCATCTTTATTTTTGCCCATCACTTTGCATTAGTTGTCTTTAACTTTCAGGGTCATAGATAGATAGCTATGAATGTGGTAAAATAAAAATTGCACACTTAGATACATTATTGTAATATATTTTTGTAATTCAGTATACAGTTCTTTGCATGTGACAACGTGATACCAAAGAGTTGGATACCCTCTGACTAATTGCAGCAATCTCCTTCTGGTTCTATGCTACCCCACCAGTCTGAGAACCTGGAGCTCTTACTCAATCACGCCTACAGTAATTTTAATAAACCTGGATGAGAGAAGTCTCCGTAGTCTTGTGCTCATTGAGAGACACAGTTATCAGTGTTTTTTGTTATTGATGTGTGGATGGCTTGTTTAATTTTGTCTAACATATCTACTATATCTACTACAACCATGCACAACACACACACACACACACACATACACACACACACACATGCTCACACAAACATTTAAGAACATATTTTAGGTATAATTATTATATGATAAATGTGCATCTGGCAATTCATACACATTGAAAGATACTTATTTGCACAATCCTTCAAAAGCTTAAAGAATTTTCCTAGGACTAATACCCAGGAAATGACAATGTCAGTGTTTAAAGCTCTAGAGAGTCTGTCACTAACTTAGGTTCTTTTTGCACATCCAACTGCCACGAATATGTAAAAACAGAACCTGTATAATATAAAGGTGTATGTGTAATCCTGAAGATCCAATTGCTCAAAAGCTGGCACTGCCCTTGAGCTTGAACTCAGCCCACTAGGTTGAGGCCCCCAACATAGTGACTTGCAGGAGGGCCTTTTAAAGAGCAGGTATGCTCATAGGTAACTAATGCTTCTCAGCTGGTTCCTGGGGAGAGGCTCTGTAGTGAAGTGGTTTAAAGAGTCAGATGTGGAAGACTGTGCATAAAGATAAAACATCATAAAACACCAGTGAGCGCCCCAATGTGGAACGTGTCTGCACTCAACCTGACTCATAATCTGAAACAGTAACCTGAAATAGAATTTTAGCTTTACAAAAGCCCACAATTCACAAAATCAAGGCTGTCATACTTTGGGAGCAATTTGATTTTAAAGGGAAATAGGTGTGATTGAAAATATTTGAAGCAAAATTCTTGGAAAAATTAATGTAATTGTTATTTAACAATTGTTTTGGGGAACTGCCTACAGTTAAGTGCAGGCAGAGCCTATGGATTAGTTCTCCTACCTGCTTTTTTCTATGCAGTGTCTGTTACTAAGAGTCAGGAGCATGGTTATTTCAAAGGCCTGAGGTTCATTGGCATTTCTACTCTTCAAACAAGCAAGACACCTCAGGCATTTGTAAGTCACACAGAAACCCCGAATACCTGGATGTTTGACTCTGTCACTTTCACTTCATTTTAGAATTGGACATGAAATCAGCCATCAGATACTACATTAAAAAACTGGTTTAATTGCCTTTTTTATTCATATAAAAAAGGAATGCGCTCTGGGCTCAACACATTCAGTTATTTATATTATGTAGGACACGTCTTAATTGATATACCTTCATAACAAGGTAACTATGAGAAGCAGGGAGGAATTATCCATGTATTAACTACATACGCATGTATGCATATAGCTTCAGAATTTTATATGTGATGAAAATTGATTGCCTTAGGGCTGCTTAAAGAAAATCTGAATGTAGAGATGGATGAATGTACTGATTTTGTATCCTATTCTTAAAAGTCAAGTGCAAATTATAAACCCTGGGTACTCAGTTACTGAAATGTGATACAGTATGATGGTTGAAATTATTATCTTGGGAATCGCCACTGTGAGTTAATCTCATGTAGTACATTTACCTGTTCTGTATTCATAATTTGGTTTATTAATTTTTCTAAGCTTGAGTTTTTGCATTTATACATATGATAAAGCTAATCAGGAAGTGTGTATCCAGAACCAATAGGGCTAGATGCGATTTGGAATTCAGAACTTCACCCATTTTTAGAAACATATTAAAACACATAAACTATAGAGTAAGTAACAACCTCAGCAGGGTCCAGGGCAGCACCCTGTAATCAACTACATTAACATTTCTGCAGTGAAGTATAGGAACAGCCACTGTAATGGGACGCATTATGACTATAAATAGCCTCAACTCACTTCTGCTACCAGAGTTTATATCATGAAAATCTTTCATGGATTTTTTTTCCATTTTGATTTAAGAAAAAGAGATTATAAATCTGTTTTAGTGCACGTATTTTATGTGTTTGTGCACATATATAGATGCGCATGTACACACATGTGACTACACATTCATGTGCATACAAGATCAACTATTGTTGAAGTCAGAAAAGTGTTTATATAATAACAGTTCATGCATAGTAAACAGTCAGTATTGATCAGAACGTGAATTCTTTGACAGCAAAGATCAGTGCTTTATCAGGATACTCCCAAGTACCTCTCTCCAGTGCCTGGTATCTATGTTTGACTGCAGAAAGCCTAATATAATAACACATAGTATCTCTGTACCTCTTGTGTCAACACAACACTAAACATTTGAATCCCCTGAGAAAAGGAAGCAAGCCTTGAGGAGGCTCAGTTGTTTCAACAAAACAAGAGAGTACAGCAAGGAACCAAAAGTGCCCAGTGAGGTGCAAAGCATTAAGTCTCCCGGCTACATCCCTTTTACTGAATTTGGGAAAGAACATACCATTCACTTCTAGACATTGTTTTTCAGGAACATCAGTCATTGTCAGTTCACCGTGAGAAGAAAATGCTTTTAAACTTTACTGTTTTGAAACTTTGCCATCAGGTCCACTGAAAGTAAAGCGTGGCCGTGAACTTCTGATCCTCTTGCTTCTACCTCCAGAATGGATTATCCTTATGTGCTACCAAGCCCAGGGTTTCTTACATGCTCGGCAACAATGCTCCCAGCTGTGCTAGATCCTCAGTCCCTCTCCAGATTTCAAACTATGATAATAGTGAATGTCCAAATAAGCAAAACTGTAAAAATTGATCCTGAGAAATGAACATATACACGCCTTTGAAGTACTATAACACAGTTTTGGAGAGCTAGGGGCCTGTGTCTACATTAAGAACTTGCAAAACTAACAAAACAATTTAGACAGAATAATACACACAGGCAAACACAGGAAGACTAGTGAAGTAGAATTTTCCTTCTAAGCATTTGATTCCACTTGGGGATGACTTAAATGGTACTCTATGACGTAAGCACCAGGTCTTGCCCTTAATTTGTGTTACAAATACTGTTTTGTTTTTCTAAGTGCTGAAATGGCAATCAATGAAATTCAAAGAAAAATCTACCTGAAAATGGGGATATAGAACCTCAAAATAAGAGAAAAATAATATTTGACATTTGCTATGATGAGAATTCAAACCAGACAATATTGTCTACAACATTCAAGTACTAGAGTGAGATAGAGTAATCTAGAGAAAAGGTTTGACAAAAGAGATCTCAGGTAAATGAGGATGCAGTTTGCTTATTTACGCATTACCTAAGTATCATGTGGTCACTTGAAAGGGTAAACTAGGCTGACAGTGATGCGAAAACTGACATTTCCTAAAGGAACGTTTTAAACTGTGGGATTATTCATACTGCTAAAGAAGCCAACAGGTTAGTTCACTAACCATCTGGTTTAAAGGATTTACAGTTAAGTGTGACGACAAACTGTGGAAGAGCCTGAAATGAAACATTTAAAGACCAGGAACAGACCCTGAAATGGGAGCTTAAAATGAAGCTTACCCGGCCAACGAGAATCGGTTCAGGTCCAGAAAATTCTTCCAGGACAAACATTTGATTCCAAACCCAGCCTCTTTTGGAGCGGTTCAAAATCCTCATGTCTTCACTCTGCCTGCTTAGTTCCAAAGGGGATCCAGTAGTTAGAAGGTGAGCCTGATTCATCGGAGCCATGTACACACAAGAGGGGAGGGTAATCCATAATATTATTAGTGGAGTCCAGAGGTCCACGAGCGTCTCAGCTAGCCTTTCTGGCATGGTCCCACCAGTTAAGCAAATCAGCGCGAAAATGAGACAATTATTTTTTTTGCCTCGGGTCTGAAGCCATCCAATTCATCACGCACTGCGAAGCAGTTACTTACAACTCTGCCACGTGTTCAGAGAACCGGGAAACAGACATGCCTAAGCAGCTTTTCAAAGACCACGATCCATTGACTTTCCTTTTCATTGAAATGATCTGAAAAAAAAAAGAGGGAAGAATGATAAGGGTGCATAGTTACTGGTAAAATTCGAAGACAAAATTATGCTCCGCAGAAACACATAAAAGTGAACAGATAATGAGCAATTCCCCAATTCTTGAGTTGAGAAAGTAGACCTGAGGAACCAGAACAAATAGGCTAATAAACTCACCTAAATCTAAGCATCATTTGGGTATTAGTATTCATTCCATTGCCAAGTCTCCTGTCGGAAACCTGCTTTAAATGACAGTGATGTTCTCAACAGACAATACCTCCCTTACTTACCATTGACACTTCCTCCTTCTGTCAATCCCCTCCCACCTTCCTGAGTCTCTCTGTCTCTCTCTGTTTCTGTCTCTGTCTCTCTGTGTGCTGGTATGTGTGTATGTGTTGTACTTCATTTTTAAGAAACTGGCCTTCAGAAACTAAACAGCTTAGTTAAAAAGGTTAGAAATGAAGAAAGGATGGGTTTTTCTACAGGTTTCATTGCCTCGACTATCAGTTGCAATCAGGAAAGCCTGTTAACAACTAATACAAAATGCTAATAATGACAGGGGAAATTAGAGTTTATCCAGAGAGAATTCTCTAATGTCCAGCATGTGTGCTATAAGCAAGGCAGTGTCAATGTACCTAAGCTAAATGTAGCATTGAATGGGATATTTTAATGATGAAAAGCTCCTTTGGGAATGAAATATGGTAAAAATACAATTTTCAATTGAAGGAATTTAGAGAGAGATAGAGGAGGAAAAAAAGGATCCTTATTACCTGAGGTGTCAAATATATTTTTGCTTACCTTCAGCATAGCAAAATGTGTTTCTTCCCACTCAAAAAATTATTTTTAAAGAAATGATGTTCACTGCAGATTCCTGAGAAAAGCCTGGCTGAATTAGATTAAGTGGAAAAATAATTCCTGGGGACACTATCCGCTACCGTTTGTCAGAGGGAATTCATAATAGGATAGAAAACCTTTCACCTCTAGATCCCTGGTTCCATTCTGGCTCAGTATGTGAAAGCAAGGACGTTAACATTGCTTGGGCTGGGAAATGGCCTTATGGGAGCCAGCTGAAAGGGCCAGGCATTCTACTCCAAACACCTTGGTTTTGGGACTAACTAGGTGGCCTATGGCATGATCCTGTTCAGCGCAACACTGAGACTTACACCTAAAAAGGACCTAACCCTGTGAATGCACAGGGCATCAATGCAAGGAGCAGCTATTTGGGAGATAGAGAAATTTCAATAGCTTTCAGTGTGAGGCCAACCCAGCAGAGACCTTCTAAGTCTCTACTGTCCTTAAAATTACTGCCCTATTAGAGAGGAAGAGTCTTCCCCAAGTTAATATATACTTCTACTGCAGAGCATCGAGACCTCAGATATGATGATTTAAATCGAACAGGACACTGCTAAGGATTTGTAAGCCTTATTATGTTTGTTTTGTCTGTCTTCATTTACTTAAAAAAGCATTTCCAACAAGGTCAGAGTACGCCATGCTTCCTCCTCTTAGACATGAAGTGGGGAGCTAGCTGAAGTTGTACTAGGATACACTGGACAGTATGATCTAGATGTCAGTAGGTATGGGATTCAATTCTAGATGACCCGACTTACTACTATTGTCAGATGAATACAGTACTTAGCTCTCCTCTGTTTTAGCCCTCTCACCTATAACATGGCTACCCAATAACCCTTAATTTACAGAGTGATAGTGTGTATGGTTAAAAACCAACATGAAGAGCAGTAAATCACAGGAAACACTCCTAATATTATAATAGAAGTGGTTACTTGAGCCAGATAGAGGAGGTAGTAGTGATGCGGTCCCTTCCTGAGTAGGAAAGACAAACAATTAAGGACTGAACCCTTATAAACTCTTCAGTGAGGATAGACAGGAAGTGGTAGGAGCAGAGAAGTCATCTTGAAGATGACAGTCAGCTTTAGGACAAAGATGGGGCTGACAAAGGAGAACAGATGAAGATGAGAATGATGAGGATGGACTAATGATAACAGCAAGACAGTTGGGGTATGAACATAATGTTGGTGTAACCGGATGGAAGCAGGATGTAGAGCCAATGGAAGGAAGCTAGAAGTGATTCTCAAAATGGCAAGAATGATTGAAAGTGATTCTGGTGAGAATCAAGGTGATGCTAGTGACTGCAGACTGGAGGATGAATGTAGATAATGTTAATGACGGAAGGACAGAGGTGATGTAGAGAAAAGGAAGGATAGGCTTGATGCTGAGAAGTACAGAAAGGATAGAAGAAGGGAAGTGATGCTAGGGAAACCATTAAAAGGAGCTGAGAGTTGATTCTAGTGAAGGTAATGTAGCAGGAAGATGAACGTGAAGCTGGAGAAGCCAAGATTTGGAAAGGAGATGGAGGCAAGGCTAGGGAGGGAGGGATGGGCTGATCCTGTAACTCATGGCACCTCAACCCTAAATTCTTTCAAAGAAAATGAACATTTCTTTTTAGCTCAAAATATATCCTGGTCCACTGTAAGCTGTACTGGACCTGAATGCTCAGAAACTATGTGCAATATCACCTGTGGTGTGACATCCATAGGTACAAAAGCAGGATTGGAAACAACTTCTAGTATTGATGTGTTTGGAGTTTGAAGTCTAGACTTCATGGTTATTAGCTCTGCAACTGTTTATTAAAGGGTCAGACCAACCAGAAAACCAGCTGATTTATTCAGAGGCTGATTGGATAAATTCATATGCTGTTGTCTTTTCAGTCAGACTACACGATCTGCAAGGAATCTCCTGAATGATTCTAAAATTAGACAGCTAATCCTAGTTTAAATCCATACCAGACAGTTTCTGCCCAGAAACTGGTCAATTGTATTCAGAATGGGGTGTAACATGTCAGAGACTTTGGCATGGTCCTGCCAAAATCAGATGAAAAGCCACCACTGACCCCTACACCTTTTAAATATTGCTAGAGCCTCATTAACGAGAACAAATACATTAATAGTAGAAGATTATATACTCAAAAATAGTATTCATTATCATAAAAGTTTAAAATTTTCCACTTTGTATTACTGTGCAAAATTGAGACAGGGGGGTTCATTAAAAATCTTCATTTGCAAAAACCCTTCAGTAAAATCAGAAACATTATTTAAACCTGGGGAACATAATTCTAAAATTTGTTTTTCTTCAAATGGCTCCTCCTCCTTTCATATGAATTTCCGATGCACATATACTATTTGTTAGGCAGAGGGGAGAGCACAGCCAGTCTGTCAGAGCTTCTTCTTTCTACCTTCAGGAAGTCAAAAATACAGCTGTCAAAGACAACGAAGCACAAATAGCACAAGTACTACTTTAGGAGACGTATAATGTTAGGAAGGCTAGAGGCAAACCGATATAACATAACATTCTGTCTGGTGATGTCAAAGAAAGCTTCCTGGAAGAGGTGTTACCTATTAATAAGTGTTCAAAGGAGTCGATTATAAATCACATGAGTTAATCACTGGAAACAAGACAACCAAAGCTAAGCAAGGGTTTCCTGAATAATTCAGCATCTACATTTCGTTTCAGATTAGTCCTTATAATATCACCTCTTCAATAAGTTTTGCTCAAAAAATTTATACTGGTCTCTACAGCATGCATCAAAAAGTTTGCTGTCTTTTCTATAGATTCTGTAGAGAGGCTGTGTTTTTAATTTCTGTGAGGGATTTGTGCAATAAGCACATATGATTCTAATAGGAAGAGTATGTACTTTTTACGTTTCAGAGGAAAGAGAAATACAAGTTGGCTGATGCTGATGAATCCAGGGAATAGCTCTGAAGAAAAGCACTCCAAACAGTGGACACTCTCTCAGTCACCCTTGATTCCTCAAAGTTGCCCGCAAGTTCTAGTGACTTAAATGCTCAAGTGCTATCTCATTATCATTTTTCCTCCAAACTCTTGACTTTCCCATGTTAGTATATTTTCCTGAAATTGGCTCACTGTTGTTGATATGAAATAGAAATCCATTCAGGTGATGATGGCACACATCTTTAATCCCAACACTCAAGAGGCAGAAGCAGGCAAATACCTGAGTTAGCAGTAAGCCTCAACTACAGAGTTTCACGACAGCCAAGGCTGTACAGAGAAGCTTTCTCTCAAAAAAGAAAATAACAAAAATAAGCAAACAAACAAATAAACAAAACAACAATAACAAATAAATGATCCATCAGGGGTGTGGTGGCATATAGTTTTAAATATTCAAGAAACAGCAGACAGATTTCTGTGAAAGTCTTACATACACAAGTCAGTCAGGGCTACATAGCAAAAATCCTGTCTCAGAAACAGTTGGATGAATGGTTAGGTAGGTAGATGTTAGATATGTAGGTAGATAGATAGATATATAGATGACAGATACATACATACATACAGACAGACAGACAGACAGACACACACACACACAAATAAATACACAGATACATGGATATATAGATACACGGATACATAGATACATAGGTTAACTGATTGATATAAAATCTAATTTTACTTTCCAGAAGGAATCATATCTGAAAAATTGGATTATAAGTCAACATTTAAAAAGTGGACAAAATTAAATCATAAGGACTACAAACACACACCCATACACACACATACAAATCCCACAAGATATCTACACTTCAAAATAGCCCTCTGATATAAGTATCTTTATTACTTTATAATTTTCATTTCTGTTGCATAAATAAGCAATAAGAACAGAGAGAGTAGCATATTAAATG